GAGGACAGCTGGCCCTTCCTGCTCGGCCAGCAGGGCCCCGGCGCGGCGGGGGCCCACCGGCTGTACTGGCGCGCCTGCGCCCCCGTGGCCGCGCGCCTGGGCCTGTCGCGGGCCCCACGGGTGGGGACGCCGTGGGCGCCGTGGTCGTCGCCACCGTGGTCGTTGGCGTGGTCGTCGTCGTCGCCGCCGTGGTCATCGCCGCAGTCTTCGGCGTGGTCGTCGTCTTCGTCGTCGTCATCGTGATGGTCGTCGTCGTTTTCGTCGCCGTCGTCGGCGTGGCCGTCGCCGTTGTCGTCGGCGTGGTCGTCAACACCGTCGTCGGCGTGGTCATCGTCGTCGTCTTTTTCTTTGTGCTTCCCCTCCTCCTCCTCCTCCTCCGCGAGTGGATTCTGCGCAGGACGAAGCCCTGCAGAGGTGCGTGGTCATGGACGTCGTCTTCGTCGTCGTGGTCGTCGTCGTGGTGGCCGTGGCCGTCGTCGCAGTCGTCGTGGTGGGCGTCGTGGGCATCGTGGTCGGCGTCGTCGTGGTCGTAGACGTTGTTGTTCGCCGGTCGGGGATTGAGGTTTCTGAACGTTTTCGAGTGTCGAGGATCTGGGGCCTCTGGAGACCTGGAGGCCTTCCTCGGCGTTCGAAATTAGAGGAACGAGGTTCGAGGTGTCGACTCACCCCATGTTCGACCTCCCGCGGGCTCTAGAGGCATCCGCGGGGGTACTCGGAGACTTCTGGGGACATCGGGAGACCTCTGGAAGTAGTCGTCGTCGCCGTCGTGCCTGTTGTCGCCGCCATCGTCGCGGTCGTCGTTGTTGTGGCGATGGTTGTGAGTATGGTCGTCGCCTGTTCGTTCAAAAGAAAGTCCAGACCCAGAACCTTGTGGTCGCCATAGTCGAAAGGTTTCTGGTTATCTGGACGCCTTGTAGGCAGATTTGGGGGAGTCTGGGTACGTACCGTAAGTGATTCGTCGCCGCCGCTGTCTTCGTCGATAGCACCGTCGGTGCCTGCCTGTCTTCTTCCTTCCAATCCCCGCGAGGAAGGGGTAAGCAGGGGGAGGGGAAGGGTGCTGGGAGGAGGACGTGGAATGGGAGGAGAAGGGCATGGAAGGGGAACAACAATCCCGCGAATGGGAGCATGGGGAGGATGGGGAGGAGGAGCGAGCGACAGGAGGACGGTTGGAGGGGAAGGATGTGGAGGAGGTCCTTGTCCTGCTCCTGCTCGTTCTACTCTCACACTCCTCCTGGACGACGACGATCACGAGCAAAACGACGCGACGATCACCGACACGGCGACGACTGTCATGACAATCACGACGAAGACGACCTTGACGACGAAGACGACGATGTTGACATCGACGATTAAACCGACGATGACTTCGACGAATTCGATCACGACGACCACGACCACGACGACGACGACCACGACCTCCCCACAGACCTCTACAGGGGTGTGTCCTGCCCAGACCTCCCACGCGGATCCATCCGTGGCGACGAGAGTGCCCCAGGAGGATCAGTAAATGTGGCAGGGACTTCCAGAAACAACGGGTCCTCGAGCCGCGATCCTCGGGGCAGTAAGGCGCGGGGGGGTCGACGACGGCATGAACGTGGCCCTGCCGGGGAAGCGTAAGACCCGGGTTTGCCAGGACTCGGGTTCGCCATCGTTTTTTGACGACCGCGATTCGGATTTTGACGAGTAGGAGTTTCGTGGGATGTCTGCAGCGGGAGACCTCGTCAAAATGCAGGCTCGGCCTCGTCATTTTTTTGACGACCTCGTCGGGGATTTCCGAGTCCCCTGTACCCGGGTCTTACGCCCCCCTGACTGTAGGGAAATCAGCCCCTGCACTCCCACTGCGGGCCCACAGGGTGCACGTTCCGTGCGCGTGTTACTGCCCCTTCGTTAACAAGCACCCCAACAAACGGATCGGGTGGAGGAGGGGGAGCAGGTCTGGGAGGAGGAGGAGGGGGAGGAGGAGGAGGAGGAGGAGGAGGAGGAGGAGGAGAAGGGGGAGGAGCAGCTGAAGGTCGGACCTCACAGTGCTTGTGGTGTCTGCCGCTATCTCCTGCCCGACGGCGACGACCGGAGGCCGGGGCGCCCCCGGCGCTGATGGCTCGCGCCGGGCGCCGCGGCAGCGTCTCGCAGCTGGGCCCGCCGGCCGCCCGGGCCGCGCTGCGGCGACTGCTGCTGAGCCCGCACGGGGCTGCGCGTGGGAGCCGTGGCTTCTTCCTCCCCTCCCTCTCCGACCTCTTCGGCCTCGTCCTCACTCTTCTCCTCCTACTCCTCCCCCTCTCGGCCTCCTCTTTCCCCCCGCCTCCCTCCTCGACGTTCTCCTCCTCTTCCCCCGCCTCCGCCTTCCCTCTCCTCCTCATCGACCCCCTCCGCTTCCTCGGCCTCGTCCTCGTCGTCGTCGTCCTCCTTCTCCTCCTCGACCCCCTCGTCCTCCTCGACCCCCTCCTCCCCTCCCCCTCTTTCTCATCCTCATCCTGCTCCTCTTTTGTGTTCGTTTTGTTCA